AAGCCAATTGGCATGGTCATACTGTAGGATTTGCCACCACCTGCAAATCCTCGTTATCAATATTGCTTTAATTCTGTTCTGTGATTTTTAGTGATAGGATTTATTTATTCTTACGTAAACTGCTCTGAGGTCGCTTGGGGATGAAAAGCTTCACATCAACACAGTAAATAATAATAAAAAACAAACAACTGTTTTAAAGAACTCAATGCCTATTGCCTACTAACAAACCAAGAGCCAAACTCTGGCACACGTCCCTAATTTTCCTCTTTTTGCTGGCAGGGATCGCTGCACTCAGCGTACAAAGAAATGAGCCCCTGTGTCTCTGTCCCTGGATGGATGGGTATGCCTGGGTGCAAAGTGGCATTGTGCCAAGGTTCCCTCTCTTTGGGGGCGTACGGTTTCTTTACCTTTTCGCTACACTTTCTGATGGTGGACGTGAGCTCACTCACTACCATGTCCACACACTTCAGACATGGCTCATTCAGTTTCTGCACCTGCTTTTTCACTATGGCTTCAAAAGCGAGGTCAGGCGTGAAGAGACCCGTTCTGCGTGGCGAAAGGAGCAGGGAAGGAGAGAAGCAACAAGAAGAAAGGAGTGCGAAGCAGACGGAGGAGGAAAGAAAGAGATCAGACAGAGGGGAGGGAGGGGAAGAAAGGAAGAAAGAGAAAGAGAAAGGGAGAAGAGAAAAACACAAGGCAAAAATGAGATTTTGGTTCACTCCACAGGCCAGGGGTAGCCAATGTGGTGCCATCCAGGTGTTGCTGGGGTCCCAGCTCCCACCACCCCTGACCACTAGTCAAGCTGGCTGGAGCTAAAGTCCAGCAGCATCTGGAAGGGTGCTAAAGTCCAGCAGCATCTGGAAGGAACAATGTTGTTTATCTCTGCCTTAGGCAAATGTAACCCAAGTGAGTGTCACTAAAGGACCCAAAGTGCTGCCAAGCATCAGGTGGATTCTACAGGAGGAAGAAAAGATGGAATGAAAAACTGCAAGCCAGGGTGTGGCCAGTGAAATGGACAGATGGGTAAATGCAGGGATCCCTTCCTCCCCAACCCTACCATTCTCTCTGACTCCTGAAAAAATGAAGCCTTCATCTCCCTACTGAGAGTCTAACTGGGGCCTCAGGTTATCTCTCATCCACCCTCAAGGTTGCTTTCTATGTGGACACCTAAAAAGCACAAACATGAAGCTTAAGGTCCTTGAAGAAGTAACCCTGAAAACGCTAACACATGTGTCAGAGGGAAGACCTACAGCAGTGGTGGAGAACCTGCAGCCTGCCAGATGTTGCTGGACTACAACTTGCATAATCCCTGACCATTGGCCATGCCAGCTGAGGCTGATAGGAATCAAGATTCAATACATGGAGCATCACAGACTCCCTGTCCCTGATCTACAGGCTCTCTTCTGCAGCTTTTACTATGTGTGACTTTTCTCTTGAAGATGAACATGAGTTAAAATTTACCACTGTATGTTGCCACATAACATGTGTATGCACTCTGCTAGACTTTTTAAAACTCAGAATCATGTATAGTATTCTGTAACCTGAATAATAAAGCTTCTGTACTATAAAGCTGGATTCTGCAGCTTGCATAAATCAGGTGCCAACTGTTTTCCCCTCCCTGTGTGCTTTCATAAGGGAACAGCTGCCAAACAGCTACAAGGGTGTTTCTTACCTTTTGAGTCTGAATATAAAAATATTGGTGTGAGGAGACAAGGCATGTTGTCAGGTGCTAATGCCACCAGCTTTGGCCTCACTTTAGAATATACTGTTAATTGTCTTACTGCATGCTTACTTTTGATATATTTCAAATGAATTGCTATTTGATGACTTGCTAGCGTTATGTTGTAGTGATATCCTTTTCGTTATTGTACTACTGTACAATCTTGAATTCCTGGCTGCATCTGCAAAACCTACCAGTGGCCAATTAGGCACAGTTCCCTCCCCTCAAAAAACACCCCAATGTACATTTGCATGTGCTACTTTCTGTTTATAGATAACATGCGTAGAGGCCGGTGACCAAGATGATAAAAGGTCTGGGAACTCAACCTTATGAGGAACAGTTTGGGGATCTGGGTATGTATTGCTTAGATGAGAAGTGATATGATAGTCATCTTCAAATACCTTAAGGGCTTCCACATGAAAGATGAAGCAAGCTTGTTTTCTCCTGCTCCAGAGGGTAGGACCCGAATCAGTGAATTTAAAAAACAAGAAATGAGGTTCCGACTAAACCAAAGAAGAAGGTGGACTCTCCTTTACTGGAGGCTTTTAAGAAGAAGTTGGATGGTCACCTGCCAAGAAACCTTTAGCTGTGATTCCTGCATTGCAAGGAATCGGACTAGAAAACCCTTAGGGTCCCTTCCAATGCTACAAAGCTTTGATTCTATTATTCTAAGTTGGTCAACTGCCTGCCCTGCACAGAACTACGCCTGAAGGAGCAGGTACACAGCTGAAGAGTGTTTCTGGGACCAACATTGTCCTAGAGGCCCGCATAACCTGAGTGGCTAGAAGTGTTTTTCCCCAGCTGCAGTTAGGATGGCAGTTCTGACAGGTGAGGAGGAATGAAATGGAAAAGGGAATGGCTGGCTGGCTCCCTGAACAACAGCACTTTATGCTGCACCATTTTGGTACAGTTTCCACTTGTACCGGGTTATGCTGGACTAAACAACGCTCTTTCCTTTCTCATTCTCTCTCTCTCTCTCTCTCTCTCTCACACACACACACACACAGCGCCAAGGGCCTCAGTCACAGGCGAATTCAAACTGCAAGTGTTGGTTCTGTAGGAACCAGTGATAACAATCTCTATCTGTCTGCATTCTTTCCAACTTTTCCATTCTTACCTGCTTCCTAATTGCTTAGAACAATTGTGGGGAACCTTCAGCCCTCCAGATATTATTTGACTACAACTCCCATCAGCCCAATCAAGCATGGCCAATGACTAGGGATGGTGGGAATTGTATTTCAGCAACACTTGGAGGGCCAAAGTATCCTCACACCTCTGGATACCCAGTCCTCACTAGAAAGAAGGAAACTGTTCTTCATGACCATTTTAGAAAGGGTTTCACTACAGATACAGATTTGCTCTTGTTGGGGGAGGGCGAGAGAAATAAGATAAAGAGGAAAGAATGTGAATAGCACAAACAAACAGAAAAGGAGATTTGTAGAAAAGCAGGGAATGGTGATTAACCAATGGGAAAATTAACAGAGAAGGTACTAGTGGAGTGGGCAGGGGCATGAAAAATTGGCCCTTCCAATCCAGTTATTCAGATGACACTGCATACTTGGCAGCCTAGCGGCTTGTGTTTAATCAGGCACTAATGGCAAGATTTCTGGGTGCTCCCCACAGCCACAGACCCCCCAACACCCCCATAAGGAGAGCAGGGTAAAAAAACAAAAGTCCTCCCAGCATTCTAGAACTTCAAGGAACCTATGACAGGTACGCTCACTTTTGTTTGCTCCCAATCTGAGCCCAAGAATGATGACAACCGGTCATTGTGGCCTCTTGCCAAAGCACCAGGCATCTCCTCATTTGCCTGGACTCAGTCTTTGCCACAAATAACATTCTAGAATACTCCATCGTTCACCCTGCCCAGTTACCTGTTCCCAAATGGCCACCAGTTCGTCCAACATGCCAAGGGTTCCAAGCGCTCACACTCTAAAGAGTCAAAGGCCTTTTTAAAATTAAATAAATAAATTCCAGTACCTGGGTGTCTTCCTGAAAGGAGCAGAGAATGACTAAGAGAAGGAACACCTGTCTCTCCTGTATTTCTCTGCACCTGCAGTCATTTGGAATAAAATGGGGCGAGGTTATGGTACCTCTCCCGTGACAGCCAATCATAGCCTAAGCGAATGAAAGATGGAAACTTCCAAGGCAACTCATTCCAAGAGACTGAGGAGAGAGTGGTGGGCAATCAAGAGAGGAGAGATGTTTTTAGTTTAGTTCTCTTCAGCCAGTTGCTGCTCTTCCAGGACAGGACACAAACCAAGCCAATCAGAAAATGTACCAAGCTGCAGAGGTTTTAGAGCAGACCCATGTGGCTTTGGAGCCCTCAGAATTTGAAAACCCAAGATATAAAGATACATTTATTAATGGTGGAGACAGACCAAGTGCTTTGATAGTATTGTCATTGGTCTTCAAAAATGTCATATATTTTTCTTTCTTGAGATGAGCTCTGCTTGTGGTGGTGGTGGTGATGGGAAAGTGTTCTGCAGGTTTCTAGTATGGTTCTACCTGAGCTGGGGAGAAGCAGATGTGAAAACTCATTGGCTAGCTTCCAGGACATCACCAACACACTTTTTGGTAAGATGAAGGATAACATATATTTACAAAAATATTATGTGCTACTCTAAAAAAGAAAAAAAAGTCTGATGTTTGAAGGCACTAGGTGTTCCAGCCTGGTGTGCATGACTCTAAGATATGTTGTGAAGCCAAGGCAAAGAGCCAGCTGTAATCCCTCTGGGAATGCTATATCTGTTTCCACCCTAAGCATTGTTTCCTATCTATATCCCATTCTGAAGACCTGAAATCTCCAAAGGAAGCTCTAATGGAGAAATCAGAAGCAAATGGAGAAATCAGGTAGGATCTGGTGAAGATGTGGAAGGTGGGGACAAGACTGCAGCCTGTTCTTGTTGGGTTCTTTTTTTTTTTTTAAGTATAAAATTTTCCTCCTGTTTGAGGGCCAGCTGAATGCATTTGTTCGTCATGGTGCAATAGGTTGTAGTGGGACCCAGGATTCTAGAGCTCATGAAGAAATGGCTGTGCTTTGTTTGGCGGAAGGAAAGCTAGCCACACCCCTTAAGCTTCCCCATCTCTTTCTGATTGGCTAGGGAACTCCGGCCTGGATTCGCTCAGTTCTAGTCATGCTGTTAAGGACGGTAGTTAGAAAATACAACAAAACGTCACTGCCAGGCAGGGTTGTCACCCAGATCACAAATGCTGTGCTTCAGCCAGAGGGGATGTGGGCAAGAGCATGTTGGGACTCCATGCTCCCTTTCGGGGTTACCTTCTTGGTGCACTGTCTAACGGTATTGATTAACTCCGAAATCACCATATCCACGCATTTCAGGCAAGGCTCTTTAATCTTCTTCACCTGCTTTTTCACAATGGTCTCAAAGGCCATGTCGGGCGTGAAGAGACCGGTTCTAAACACCCCGGTGGGGAAGGGGACAAGACAAAGTGGGAGGAAGACAGGGCAAGAGGAGTGACACAGCATTACAGATCAACTTCAGAGCAGTCGCTCATATCACAGAGAAGCAGCTTGGGGTGTGCTGGGTGAGACTTGAAAAATCAGGAAGGAAGAGAAGAGCTCTCTGAGGGCTACACAACCCACTTCCCCACATGGACAAGGCCAGGGGTGAAGGACACTGTGGCTCTCCCAGCTACCATCAGCTCCAGGTGAATAAGTCAGGGATGTAGGGAGCTGAAGTGATGGGCCAACCTCTGGCTTAGATGGAGAGGAGATGGCCTTCCTGTCCCAGCAGGCTTTGGGCCTCCCAAGCTGACCCTTCTTCTGCCCTGCTGCACTGTTCTCTGAGCATTGCTTGCAGCAGGAGTGGGGAACCTTTGGCCCTCCAAATCAGGGGTGAGGAACCTTTGTCTCACACACTCATACAGGCAACCTTCCCAGGGCTGCATGCTGCAGTGGATGGGGCCAGAGGCTGAGCAATGGAAATGACTTTTACCTTTGTACAGTACTTTACATCCCAGCCATGCAAAAGTCAGGTGTTTCTACACAAACACACACACTACCAATCCATCCACCATCTAAGCAAGCGAGAGGCATTCTCTCAGTTCAACAACACATTCAAACCAATCAAAAGCCTTTGAGGAGGGCCCAGAGCAGGGCCTGGCAGGGGCTAGATTAAGAGGCTTAGGGGGGTGCATTTGGCTCCCTTGCCTGCACAAAACCTTGTTGGTCTCCAATTCCCACCAGTCTTGACCAGCTTGGCCAATGACCAGGGATGATGGGAACTGTAGTCCTACAAGACGTACAGGGCCACTGGTTCCCCACTTTTTCATTAGTAATTTTTCATTACTGTTTTCAATTTGTTCCTTTGTAGCTTGGCATGTGCTACTTTATGGGGTTCTATTGCTGTGCTGGCTGGGGATGATGGGACTTGTAGTACTAAATTTTCCCAGGGCACCAGGTTGGTGAAGGCTGCCCTTGTCATTGCAAGGAAGAGAAGAGGCTCAAGTAGCGGGAGCAGTTCTACCACCACCACCACACCTAGTTAGTCCCTTAGATTGCATATATTTTCTAATGACACACTTGCAGTGAGGGCAGAGGGAGCAGAGCATCAGATGAGAACAGAGCCAAGAGAACTTTGAGGCTGATTATCACTGCATACAGAAGCAGCAACAAATGTGTATCCCGACTCAACCTTTACGATGTGGGCCTTAGGCAGGATGCACACCCTATCATGAGTTGCTCATCGTGGAAAACTTAAAAGTGCTGAGAACTCATGGGAAGTGAGAGGAGCAAAATGCACCTCAGGGCTGCTCTGTCCCAGCCGGCATGCTAAGAACCTCCTCCCTGTCTTAATCAGGCCAAACTACAGCCAGCCCCTGGGCTTGGTGCAACATCAAAGCCATACGCCTGAAGCTGGTGCTATCCAGATGTTTTGGTCTACAGCCCTCATAATGCCAACCAGTGACCACATGAGCCAAGGCTGAAGAAACATCTGGAAGGCATCAGGTGGGGGAGGCGGTCTAAATGGGTCCTGCAAGTATGACAGGCCTGTTTTACACCAGTGCAGGTTGCAGACAGAAGTGGCCTCACCACCAGAATGGAAAACTGAGCCGTTGTAGATATTCGAGGGGGAAAAGCAACATGAAACAATAGCCAGGGTGGGATTACTTCCTGGGGTACTTATTCTTGCAGATGACATCACTTCCCCTTCCACAGTGAATGGAAAGGCAGCTTTATTTTACATGCTCCTGGCTCAGGGAAACAGGAAGCAAGCCAACGGGGATCAATAGTGGAACCTACCCACAGGTTTCAAAGCCGACCACCTCGGCAGGCACTTCTGCCCGTCTGCCAACCTACCATACCTCTGACGTCTTCAGGACCCAGCCCTGGAAGTTCTAGAAATACTGTCAAAGAAACGGCGCAGAGGCAGCCTGCCTCCATTGCATTGATACATGCCTGATTCCATGGATGTTCTTGATGGCGTAGCTGATCTCTCTTCGCAGCTCCTTCTCATCAAATTCCATCTGCATGGGGAGAAAAAGCCATCAGCACAGCCATTGCAGCATGTTGCTACAAGTCTGGACTACCTCAATGTGCTCTACGAGGGGCTTCCCTTGTACTTGATCAGGAAGCTGCTATTACTGCAGAATGACAGGCGAGGATCTGGGAGGCCAGGGTTCAAATCCCTACTTGGTCATGAAACTCAGTGGGTGACCTTGGGCCAGTCACTCACTCTCAGCCTGAACCTACCTCACAGGGTTGTTGTGAGGATAAAATGGGGAAGAGGAGAACTATGTACGGCAGCCTGAGCTCATCAGGATATAAATGCAATAAATTAAGAAGGTGGGATATACCGTTGCCTCAGGAGAGTGAGGAAAATTCTCAGGGATGATTCACACCCTGGCCGGCACTTTCTTGATCTCCTGCCCTCAGGCAGAAGATACAGAAGCATGATTAGTCGCACCAACAGGGTAAAGAACAGCTTCTATCCGTGGGCTGTTAGGCTGCTGAATGAAAAGATAACAACAGGGCAACTGACTTTCGGGTTTGGTGGGTGTGCGTCAGCAAACGAGGGGAATTAAGACTAAGAGAGCTGAGTGGGGGGTGCTCATGTAATCTCATTGTATACAAGCTGGACAAGTGACAATAAAGTATTTCAATATACATGCAATAAATTAAGTAAATAATAAATAAGCTCAAGGGCAAATAGCCTCTTGTTATTCACCTCAGCTCTACAACAGTTCTCTCAAAAAGGTTGTCCCTCAGGAAACTGAAACTTACACCCCTGTTCTTATAGGTTTTCAGGGCCTCACAGAAAGAAGACAGGGAGCACCACCCCAGCTGCTCCAGGGGATGGGATCCAAACCAATGGATTCAAATGACAAGGGAGGAGATTCTGACGAAACTTTATGGGGGCAAGAGCCATTTGAGAGTGAAACAGGCTCCCTCAGAAGACGGTGGACTCTTTGCGGAAGGTTTTTAAACAGAGGATAGCTGTCTGTCAGGGATGCTTTAGCTGCAATCCTGCACTGAGGGGGTTGGACTAGAAGATCTCAAGGTTCCCTTCCTACTGTACAGTTCTATGATTCTATGATTAGCAAAAAGAAGGAAAATGGAAGGAAATGAAAATGAAGAAAGCAGCATGTTACCCTGAAGGAGACCAGTTGAGAAGAAGAAGAAGAAGAAAGAGTACAGGGAGCAAAGAGGAAATGCCAGCGGCAGCCTATGCCAGCCACCTCAGAATTCATTCCAGTCGGCGCAGCTGTTCAACAACCCAGCAGGACACAGCAGGGCTGGTGGAAGTTGTAGGCCAAAATATCTGCAGGGAACTGGATTGCAGAAGGCCGGCCTAGGCAAATGCTAATGAGGGATCCGTTTTACCTTCACCAACTCAAAGGGGAATCTCTCGTGGAAGATGCGGTTGATCCTGGCACCTCCAGACAGCTCATAGGTATCGATCTGATCGCCAGAGCCTTCAATGCGCTTCTCGAAGTCGACAGCAAACTGCTGGACCATTCTATGCAGGGAATTAAAGAAGGGAGGAAGAGATTTCATAAATGTAGAACACCCATCCAATTAAAGTTCACTGAAGCCATCACATGTTTTACCGTCAGCTTGTGAGCTGGCTGTGATTGGCCCTTTCTATTGCACACTCCAAAAAAAAGGTCTGAATCATTTGCTACAACATATATGACACAAGCTTAAGAATGGATAGAGAGCCTAGCAGACAGCACTGGCGAGGGCTCAGAAGCCAGTGTGGAGTAGTGATTTTAGAGTGCTGGACCAGGACCTGGGAGACTGGAGTTTGAATCCCCACTCAGCCAGGAAGCTCACTGGGTGACCTTGGGCCAGTCACCATCTCTTAGCCTAATCTCACAGGGTTGTTGCGAGGATTAAATGAGGAGGGAGAACTGTGTATGCCCACCTTGAGCTCCCTGTAGAAACAGGTGGGATATAAATGTAATAAATCAATAAAGTAAATGTACTTATGAGGTCCCAGGAACCAAATTTAGGTTGCCAAGTAGGATGGTGTAAGCTAGGAACTCCAGTGCCTTGGCTTCAAGTGTTTGTTTGCTACTGCTAGAAGCCTCCGAGCCAAGATGGCCTTAGAAGACAGCATTGATATAGGGGACATGAAGGAAACCGAGTGGGAGAGAACCAGCAGGGTACGGTTATCTCTGGTGAAAAACTCAATGGGAAGGACAGGGGAGGACGCATCAGAGGTGGTGGCGCTTGGCACGTCAAAGAGGGCATTGAGCACAGCATGTCAGAAATCCCCCAAGCGGCAGACTCTTCCATTGTGGTGATACAAGGCCCCAAGAGCAATCTAAGTTTGGGTTACCAGACGTCCCCGATTCCCGGGGACGATCCCCAGATTTGAAATCTGTCCCCAGACAAATTCCGTCCCCGAAATGTCCCCAGATCTGCAAATCTGCTCCCGGGAAACGTGGCAGCGGCAGCCTCAGCAGCCCAGAGCCAGCCTGGTAGGAGCTGCTTGCTGCTTGCTGCTGTGGCGCCCGCCATTTTTCCTCTCCGGAAGTCCCCATATGATGTGTCTTGTGCGCAATCCATCATACGGAGACTTCCGGAGAGGAAAAATGGCGGGTGCCACGGCAGCGAACAGCTCCTGAAGCCAGCCAGAGCCAACTGCCAGAGCCAACTGTGCTACCAGGCTGGCTCCAGGCTGCTGAGTGCTGCTGCTGCCACCACTGCCAAAGGGGAACCAGGGATGTCCGGTGGTACAGATCTCTTGCCCCCTTTCCCCTTTGTTTTGACTGACTGGGGGAGGCTCGGGAGTCACGGGCAGGCAGACGTTGCCTGGTTTTTTGAAAACTCTGCGCATTTATGTTTCACAGCACGCAAAATAAGGGCTTTGCACCTTTATATAATACACCTGTGTGCTTGGGCCCAGGGTCTTTGGCCTCACCATCCCCACTACTGACTCCCTGTTGCTACTCAGCTTCAAAAAAAGGGGAGGGGAAGTGTCCTTGGATTCATTGAAAAAAATCTGGTAACCATAATTTAAGTACTCTTAATTAATAGGTCACTCACTGAAGCAGAGCTTTGGTCTTGCGGGCAGGGTCATCAGGGCGGAAGTTCTTGTATTCTTCCACTTCTTTCTCAATGGAGAGAAGCTGGCTCTGGAGTTTGTTTCGCAGGCCTGGCAATGTGTCTCGGATATGATTGGTCAGTTGCTGCACAAGGAAAGGAGACCATTGACAAAAATGAGCTAAAATCCCATCAGGCTGGTTGACGCATAGGCAAAAACAAGCTTTGTACTTCAGGGTGATGCTTCAGGATTGGATATGCTTTCGTCTCCCTGCTTCTTGGGTTTTGTTCTCATGCCTTGATAGTTTGTTTTTATGCCTTGATCGGTCAAACTGTGGGTTTGCACAAACCAAAGCTTGCCAGAATTTGAAACCTACTTCAAATCATGCTTTTCCTATTCTTGGTTAGGTAAACTGTTGTTTGCACAGGTTAGGAAATAAGAGAGGGAACTAGATCACATGAGGGAGGAAGAGTACATGAGCTTGGTAAAGTCATAGTAGCCAAACTTCTGTTTAGCCATTAAGTATGAACCAACTCTATGAAGACAAAAATTAATTGTACTCTTTTGTCATCATTGTTTGATGGTCAGCATACAACATTGTACAAGGCAGCATATTTTTAATGCTGCACATGTCTGTCAGTTGGCATCATCTCAGAACAGACTTTGTCAACCTTGTGCCCTCCAGATGTTTAGTACTATTGCTCCAGCCATTTAGAGGGGACCAGGTTGGTGAAGGCTGTCTTAGGAAAAAAAATTCTCCTGTGTGCAAGAGAAGACAGAATGCCTGTTTGAAGGTGGTTCTTGCCACCTGTAGATTTTACAAACAACTGCTTTTTATAATAATAATAATAATAATAATAATAATAATAATAATAATAATAATAATAATAATATCTGCTGCCTTATTAGTTAGGGGCACATTTTTCATCTACTAGGGATGTTTTACTCAATTAATCTAATGGATTTATCCAGAAGAGTGTGACTAGAATTGATAAAGAATCATCTACTTCGCATTTTGTTTTTCCGGCTTAACATTTGCAGCTCTCTAAACTGTTCCTCATAGAAGTAGAAACACAAAAGCAGTTTTTAAGTCTCTGAAGGTCTGCCAAGGAGACTTGTTCTCTGTTGCTTCAGAGGGAGGGACTAGAGCCAGTGGGTGGGAAATGCAGGGAACCAAATTCCAGCCAGACATTGAGGCAACCATCGTAGTGGTCTACGCGTGCATGTGATGTCATTTTGGGCGTCTGCACATGCGCGAGCGGCAAAACCCAGAAGTAACGCATTCCGTTACTTCTGGGTCGCCACAGAACGTAACCTGAAAACGCTCAACCTGAAGCATATTTAATCCAAGGTATGGCTGTAGCTGAATTCTGGATTGTGCATCGTGCAGAGCGGGGAGCTGAGCTAGCTGCTTTCCAGCCCTCTGATCCCTGCACAATCTCAATGTGTTTTGTATTATTCTTTCGGTGGTACCCCAGGCAGAAGTCCCAGCCAAGTTAGCCCTGTGTGCATCAGCCTTTACCTGGTTCAGTACTTTCTGCAGGTAGGGCGTGCCCATACGATCGGCCATGTGCCTGTACGCTGGGTGGGTGAGAAAGAACTTCCTCTCTGCAGCCAACGCAGCCTGAATATCCTTCTTTCCATCAATATCCTTCTGGCTTCTGTTGACCACACCAATGTAGCCTAGGAAAGAACAGATCCGAAAGTGCAGGTATCAAAGAGTGATAGACACAAGCTACATGACAAGGATCTGGATGCAACGAGGAACTGAACTGTGTTCAGTAACAAGTTTGGGGAATCTGTGGCCCTCCAGATGTTGCTGGACTACAGCTTATAAAAACATAAGAAGAGCCTGCAGGATCAGGCCAATTGCCCATCTAGCCTTTCTGAATTCTTTATGAAAAAAATAAGGAAAACTTTTGGGTTGCAAACTCATACTTGGAAAAGCCAGCCTGTCTAGTATCACAGTTGTATGAGTGCTTGATTTATTTGACAAGAGATTCTGCAATAAAAAAATTTTTTTGCAACTAAGAAGTCACTATGTGAATCAGGGTTCTCTGCCTATGTGGCTACTAAAACAAAATACAGATTCCACACCAATATTCCACTGCAGCTGTCCTAAATTCAACCAGCTATAGCCACATTGTGCAAATCAAAACAGTCCCATCTCTCTCATTAGAATCTAAGTTCCTGAGCTATGTTTTATTGTTCTTTTTCAATGCCAAGTGACATTTTTGGTTTCGCAACTGTAAAAATGGTTTTAAATACCATCTCTATGTGGGTAACATATTGTGGATTTACAATGTCTGCTTTGAATTCATTCTCAAATGTTTTGTCTTACTTTATTTTTGCTGTTGTTGCTTTTCATTTATGTAGTTTAGTGGAGAAAACAACACTTTGAATGATATAAAACTTTATGTTTAACATGCCCAAATGCTTAAAAATACCTTCCATTGTCAATACAGCTGTCATTTGGTTTAGTACCTATGTAGGTGCTAGGTGAAAATATTGTCGCCCTTAGGCCATGTAGTCAAAGATCCATCTTTCAATGAGAAAAAATAAGTTTAGATCAAAATTTAAGCTATTTAGAATTTGAAAAATATTTTGTGCTGTTGCTATATGATAAATAACAACCAAAAACATAAAAAATAGAGTTAGGTAAAAAAAAGTAAAAAATGCACATCAATGCCCTTTGGCTTAAGGGCAATGATATTGCCCCATGACGAATTTCTCTCCGGAAAAGTGCTTCACGACTCAGAAAAGTTTGGGAACCACTAGACTATGTCACAAAAGTAAGACGTAGTGGAAGGGACTTGTAGAAACCCGCTGAAGATCAAAGCATATGGGTGGCTTCAGAAACGAAGAGATGGTCTTTAAGGTATCCCAGCTCCAAATCGTTAAAAGGTCACCTCCAACAATCAATTAGAAATCCAAAGTCAATTGTTGAAGTTCAGGAGTAGCGTCGGCCAACATGGTGTCCTCTAGATGTTATTCAACTACAGCTCTCATTACCCCTGACCACTGGCCATGTTGACTGAGATTGGCAGGAGTTGTAGTAGGAAACAGCTGGAGGGCACTACATTGGCTGCCCCTACTCTGGAGTGTGAAAAGTTTAATCCATTTAGAATTCCCAATGTATTTTCACCCAGACCTGCTGGTTCATCTTGAGCCTGGGAAAACATTTCCTTTCTCCTTCTTTTGAAAGTGTAAGGCCAATGTTGGCAAGAGACATAAATTGTCAGAATGCAAAGAAGGACTAGGAGCTGAAGTAGGCCCTGATATTAGGAGGAGAATGAAAGCGAAAAGAGAGGAAAACACAAAAGCCCTTGCCTCTCCGTAGTGGAAGCAGCTTGTTCTCTAGGACATCACGAGCATCAGTTCCTTCATCCATCAGGTCCAATTTCGTGATAACACCAATGGTACGCTGGCCTGTTAGATAATAAGCAAACAATGAGAGTTATGGGGTAGTACATGGACCTATTTCATTCCAGTACATATCCTGGACATTTCCCACATATGAAGACCAAGAGGAGACCTGAATTCATGGTTAGTGAGAAAAAACCGATATCCATATATATGAAATGAGTTCTCAATGGGATACCTCATTGCTTGTGGGGAAGAGGGGAGTAGAATAAGCATACACCTGTTTCCAGAAGGGTAGTCATATTAGCCTGTTGAAGCAAAAACAATGAAAGACCTTGTGGCATCTTAATGACCAGCACATTTATGATGGCGTTGCTACAAAGATCTGGGAGCTTATCTGGAGCTAGATAAACAGGATGCAGATTGGGGGAGGAAGGTGAAGCTGTAGGAGTTCTTAGTGCTGTTGTTTGGGATCTCATACAGGATTAGCAATGGTGCCACCTGCTTTAGCATTCTGCTTGCTCACAACATGATCTACCTGTATATTTGTAAATAAACTGGACTTAACTGTCAGGGGTCCTTTACCTTTAAATAAACTGTTATTACAAAAACATTCTAAGTCTCCATCACTCACTCTCATTACAAGGAAAATACAAATGTAAAAAATGGCACCCCTGGAACTTTGTGCTGCTTGGAGTGAACCTTTTTTGGTGATATTTGCAATAGCCAGTGGTCAAGGGAAGACAAGGAGACCATTGTGGTAGGAAAGGGACAAACTATGAGAAAAATATAAACACAAGAGCTGAGTTTACCTTGAGGGTCGACTTCTTTAGCAATCTTGAGAGCATCAGAGTTGGCCAGGTCTGAATTTGCTGGGGACACTGCAAGGATGAGGCAGTTCTCTTTGGTGACAAACTGCATTAGCATTTCACGGATCTGGAACTCAATGTCAGCAGGCTGGTCTCCAACTGGAACCTTAGTCATCCCGGGAAGATCCACCAGGGTCAGACTCAGGACTAGATAAAGGAAGAGAAAGAGATGCCCAGGTTGGGTGGTGTTACTTTGTTATTGGATGTCTCATAGGAACGTAAGAAGTGGGAAAAGTATTCTACAGCCTAGAGAAGAGGTAGTCAATGTGGTGTTCTCCAGATGGGATGACAACTGCCAGGGGTGATGGGAATTTAGTCCAGAAACAGGGCCACAGATTCCCCACTCACGGTCTAGAATGCTGTTTCACAATGTTCAAAACCAAATGTCCATCCATAGGAGCCAATTCCAAGGTCCCTTCAGCCCTCCCAATAAAATATTTGAGGGGGCCAGGCCCCCCAAAGTTGATGGGGATTGCTATTCAGTTGGGTTGTATGCATCCCCATGTGGGGTTAATTATGCAGTGTGGGGCTTACCTGACCTCTCCAATAATTTATTCAAGTTGGTACCCCTGTATCCATCTGTTCCACTGCTTTACTTTCAAACACAGATCCAACCAGATGTCTCTGGGACGCAGGTTGATATAAGTCAGCCTTCCCTAACCTGCTGCCCCCCAGATGTTTCACAGTTCCAACCAGCCACCCACAGCCAGCATGGCCTTAGTGCAGGGGTCAGTGAATTTTTTCAGCAGGGGGCCAGTCCACTGTCCCTCAGACCTTGTGGGGGGACGGACTATTTTTTTGGGGGGGGATGATGCAAGAGCATCATGAGCCCTGGTAGCTGCTTCATACAAGATGGAATCTGAGGCTTCCACCACCCACACTTGGCACAAAGAGGGGACTTACCATGGGGAGAGTAGACTCGCAGATTGATTGGGACAGGAGAGATGCCCTTGTTTGAGCCAGTTATCCTGTCAGTCTCAGCCTCGATCTCCTGACGTATCTCATCAAAGTCAGTGAACTTCTTTCCTTTGCAGTGTAGGAACTCACCATATTCTAGGAAAGGGGTGGGTGGGAGGAAAGGTCAGGTTTGCATTTCTGGTACAGAAAGTATTGGTTTAAAGTGCAGAGATCTTTCCTATTCTAATTAATTCAAGAAAGTTCTGGAAACTTCTCTGTGTGATACATGCTGGTGCAAGCTGGAAGTTTCTAGCCGACAAGTAAGACCATTTATCATCTTGGTCACCTCGCTCTGCACATGGTTCCACCGTGTCAAGCTCCTTCTTAAATTGTGGAGCCCAAACTGGACACTGGGCTCCAGCAGTCCAAGGCAGAATAGAATGGTGCTATTACTTTCCATGATTTGGACACTTGATGCAGCCAAGAATAGCATTAGCTTTTTTTTGCTGCTGCATCACAATGTTGACTCATGTTAAGCTTGTGGTCTACTAAGACCTCCTAGATCCTTTTCATATGTACTTCTGTCAAGGCAGGTGTCCTCCATCTTATATTTGTGCATCTTATTATTCCTGCCTAAGTGCAGTACAAGGGTGAGATGCATTTCTATTTCAATTATCGTCATTATTACAAAATATGCATCTTATAAATAGGGATATGCAATTCAATGCATATCTCAATCTTCCTTTATTATCTTTTTTGTGATGCATTCCTTTCCCCCCCTGAAATTACATCTTGCATATATGAACACTGTGCACGGGAACAACAACAGAAAAGAAGTGTTGAGTTTTCCCTATCGGTATGAAGAACAGAAAGAATTATGTGGAACTTTATAATAATAGTAATAATAAATTTTTATTTATACCCCGCCCTTCCCAGTTCAGAAAACCGGGCTCAGGGCGGCTAACAACCAATTTATAACACTTAATTTATGCAACAAAAAACAGCATAAAATACAGTATAAAACATGAATAACAATAAATTCAGAATTCAAAAATCTATTTTGGGGGGAAATCCATCCAGTAAACATTAGATGATCACCAGGGCTAGCTGGCTAAATTAGTCCTATTTGGGCCAGCGAGGAGACTAGGGGAGAATTAGCTGTGGGATCCCACTGAGGGGAAACTTTGGGAGACAACTTTGCATTTACACCACTCTGAGGTTTTCTGCAAGTAGCATATAAATTTTTCGAAACAAAAATAGAATACTGAAACAAAAGAGGAGAGAGAGGGGCGGGTGTACCTGTGGGGGAGTTGACCAGTTGCAGGACCAAGGGACGCCTGGTGACAATGCCAGATCCACGGGGCAAGAAGTCCCTGAAAAGCAAAAGGAGAAGAGTTCTGATGAAGGGCAGCTTCCCAAAAACAGACTGCATCATTGGATCACTGCAGTCCAGTGGTGTAACGGGGGGGGGGGGGGAACGCTACAAGGATGGTTGCCCTGGGCACAAAATTGTTAGCAGTGCAAAATTTCAACTCCTGGTGCTGCCACAATACAGCTGCACACTTCCGTCACTGGGGTCCATTAAAAACAGCTTCTCCATGCTAACCAGGAAGTGACCTCTCCAGACAACGGAGTGACTCTTCTTTTATTATCTCTGTGGCTAGGATCTCCTGGGTGATGCGGACGCGTGGTCCCGGGCACTGGCAACCTATGTTATGCCACTGCTGCGGTCTCTGGGTTCTGCATAACCAAACAAGTGGAATGTGCTTCCCCTTCCCCTTTTCTTTGGTATGATGCATGCTTTGTTCAAAGATCACAACATTATTGCATCAGCCTTAATGGAGGGAGGACAACTTTAGGGGGTTCGACTCAGATTTGCATAGAGAAATGCATGTCCAGCTGTTAAGTTTTATATGTAGTCACCCACATGGCATCAAAACAAACTTGGAAAATCTTTTACATTTCAGGTTAAACTCACATCCACAGGATTATGCTTCAATCTCAAGAGTTAAGATAATGTCTCCATAGTGGCTCCTGAGACTGAGATGGAAGAGGCTCTCCTATTGTTAATAAAGGATATAAACTGAGACCCTACCGAGTCAAACCCATCTTTCTTTGTTATTCCTCTTATCCAACTCCAGTGGTGAGCCAAGCACTCCGGAAGTACTCCCTAAATTCCACACGGATTGGGTCCAAAACTCTGTGGTGGGAGGGGTGCCCCCCCCCAAGTGGAAACAACTATTTGCCTCACTGCTGTCATAAGAAGGAAGACCAACTCTTTATGCTTGACATTTTGATTTATATAATTTTCCATTGACAGCAGGGCTAACATGGGATCAGGTACAAGATGTTGCCACATAATGGCAGATGACAGTGTAAAATACAGTAATACTTCAGTCCAGAGACACAACAGCAAAGGCACACAAATCCCTTAATTACTGGTTTCGGTGTGATACAGTAGAGCCAGTGTGGTACAGTGGCTAGAGCGCTGGCCTGGGACACCAGGGTTCAAACCCCACTTGGCCTTGAAGCTCACTGGGTGTAACCTTGGACCCAGGCACTGCCTTCTCTTACCCTAACTTGCCTTGCAGGGTTGTTGTAGAGATTAAATGAGATGGAGGAGAAGCATGATAAAATGAAATAAATAAATAAATAAATAAATAAATAGGATTAATATTTCTATCTATTAAATACTTAACAGTGAAATAGAGCTTTTGCACTATTTTTTTTTTTTAAAAATGGGAAGAAATCAGAAATTGCCACTGCAAACACACACTTATCTGGCAACAACTCCCACTAAACTCAATGGGACTTACTTTTGAGAAGAAAATGCAGGAGATTTCAGCCTAAAGCTGGCACTGGGGTAATTCCGAGATTATTAATAACAAATACTCCACCCACATTCATCAGCCCATACCCATCAGAAATAAATTAGGATGAAGCTGCAAGGAATAAGCTTTTAATGAACACTGCAGAGTATCTTTGCTAAACAGGATTTACTTAACATAACCTAGGAGGGTCTATGCAGGGAAGACATGGGCAGATAACATAGCAATGCAATAGTTAAGTGTTAACAGGAAATCTCTGCTTTAATGCTGCTTTTAGCTAATTGTGGAAAAGCCATGGCCGCAGCTCTGAAGGCCCCCTGGGTGAGAGCAACCAAACTGCCGCTTAAGTTGGTTCCACGAATCAATGAGATCCTGTCAGCTGAGTTCTAGCACACTGCTGAAACCCACAAAGGGCAAACAATCCCTCTGCAACAAAATCAGTTGCAGCCAAGCATTTGCTTCTCATTTGGATTCCTCCTCTCTGCTCAGAAAGAGGCTTGCACTTTCAAATAGAGAGCAGCAGGGAACATGGTGGCAAAAACAATGCGGCAAATGTGGCAAAATGTGCACCGGGAATTTTATGGGAAGGGAGTTCATCAAATTTTCCTTAGGATTGTTGATTTAGCAGCCACAACCCACAAGTACCCCCCTGCCCGAGTAATTCTAAAATGACTCTCTCTTCCGTAAAGCTCTGCAGTGCACACACCACAAAGCGAGTTGTGCTGCCCTCTCTCTGACACTCGCAAGTCCCACTAGAGTTGCATCAGCCATCTTTGGCCTCAGCTCTGGATTTCCTTGATTCCTCTCTTTGGAGAGTTCTGATCACACAGGGTGCTTCCATGTGTGGACAACGTAACACAGCCTTCTCCAACCTGGTGCCCTCTAGATGATTTGGACTACAATTCCCTTTGGCCCAAGCCAGCACTAAAGATGTCCCATAGAGAAGGAGCTGGCCAGAAAGAAGCCACAAGACAGAAAATGTCTTGAAAGGCAGTGCAACAAGCCATTTTTACACTATTTCACACCTCCTAGTGGTGCAACAATAAAACAACTAGCACGTTTGCAAAGCTAAGCAGGGTCCAGTGTGGTTTCAAATTGGATGAGCAACTGCATGCTGAGATTCCTGAAGCTAGAGTTCCCTTCCAACTCTACAACAATGAAATCTATGAAATTGTGCAGATAGTCTATCATGTGTTAAAAGGGGTAGATTTTCTGAGCACGTTTCCCACTCTACTTGCACAAAAATGGGGCAAGCAATTAAACAGCACAAGGTGCACAGGTGTTTTTTTGCTATTGATGCTGGAGTGAGGAACCTGTGGCCCTGCTGCTGCTGTTGCTGGATGACAAATCGCAACTTTCTCCCTGAGCACACTGACTGGGGCTGGTGAAAATTGGGAGTCCAGTAACTTCTGTAGGGCCACAGATGCTCCACTCCTGTCCTACATGGTTCTGTAGCAGAGGTTCTGTGTGTGTGTGTGTGTGTGTGTGTGTGTGTGTGTAATGCGTCTACATCTCAACTTTCTCCACAATTTGGATACCAGGTGGGCCCTCAATCAATCTTTTGAGGAGGCAGGTAAGCTGCACTTAAGCCAATAATTGTAATTTCAGGCTTGCAAAAATGGAATCATGGGGTGCCAGCTATTTCACTAATCATGCATTTTAAAGGCCCATTTCAAAGTAATGCTTCATGCAGCAAGAACATTCCTAACGCTATGGGAATAAATGCAGCATTTTTTGTGTGTGTGTGCCAGCCATAAAACATTACTTGTATGAATGAATAGTAAGTGCTGGCATTTTGTGAAGGTCCCAGTTAGCTTACAAATTAAAAGAATCAATATTAGTGCATTAATACCCCCAGAGAGCACTAAAAAAGTTTTGTCTAGCTTGTTGCATCCCATACAGCCTGAATAAAAATGGACACCTCTTGCCACATACATAATGAAATATCATTTGGACAAGAGTTCTACATCCTGTTTATCACAGTGATCAGCCAGGTCAGATTGCCAGATCAGGAACCTCCCAGATGCTGAGACTGAGTTGTGGGCCCCAGTGACACCCATAAGCATGATGAATAAAGCATTAACCACGGTCACCGAAAGCATGTGATTCAAATAAAAAACACAAAGCCCAACTAATGGTCAAACATGTCCCTGCTTGGAAGTTAAGACAGGAACCTTAGCTAAAGGAATGCTACTATGATAGGGAGGGGAGGTGGGCAGACCCCACCACCACCACCAGAGAGTCTTAATTTGCAGAGATGGCGGTTGAAGGGGAAGGAAGGAGGGGAGGAGGCAGACCCCATGGAGAGTTCATTCAATAATTTGCAGCCTGTTCCTGCAAGGCTGAATCTTGCAAGCTCTGCATAGTTGGCATCACGATGATGATGATGATGATGATCATCATCATCATCATCATCATCATTTAAGGGCACTCTTGCTCACTTGGAGATTCAAGCACTCCACCTGCCATCTGGAGTGGGGAAGGCAAACCTAGAGCGCTGGAGTGTCTGCATTTGGTCTGGATGGTGCAACCAAAATTGGGGATCCCACAGCATGCCGCCTCCAAACGACCTCCAGAGACAGTGAAGGGGAAGCAGGCAGAGCATAAGCACCAGGCATGGGCACTTGGTGGGGTTGAAGCCAGTCACCTGAAACAGCTGCTGGTCAGTGTAAGACAATACTGAGTTAGATGGACCTGGGGTCTGCCTGGGACTCAGCTGCACTATCCATTTAAAGCAGCATTACACCACTTTCAACAGTCATGGGCCACATTCACGATGACCCCACTTTAAACAGCCATGGCTACCATGCCTGCCCCCCCCCCCGAAAATTCTGAAAGCTGTAATTTGTTGAGGGTGCTGAGATTTGTTAGGACATCCTTATTCCCCTCCCACACCACTCTGGAAAAATTGTATCCTATAATACTGTTTTAAATACATAACACAAGAAGGGAGCTGGACTGAATGACCTCCAAAGACCCCCTCTAGCTTTTAGATTTCATGGGCTCCTCCAGATCATCTATTTACTGAGCATACATCTTGATTTGCTTGCACAATGCTTACTTGGAGGTAGGCATTTAAAGCACACTTATAGTCATAGCCCCGCCCCCCTAACGCTGGGAACTGCAGTTCACCCATCACAGACCACGTTCCCAAGATACTTTTGTGGGAGCCAAGTGCTTTAAATATACTTTGAATGTATAGTGTGGATGTGACTCTATTTTCTGGTTTTTAATTGAGTATTCTGTAAATACATGCTGTCAAGCTGCATGCTAGAAGATTCAAGACAAGAGAAATTACCGTATTTTTTGCTCTATAAGACTCACTTTTTCCCTCCTAAAAAGTAAGGAGAAATGTGTGTGCGTCTTATGGAGCGAATGCAGGCTGTGCAGCTATCCCAGAAGCCAGAACAGCAAGAGGGATTGCTGTTTTCACTGCGCAGTGATCCCTCTTGTTGTTCTGGCTTCTGAGATTCAGAATTTTTTTTTTCTTGTTTTCCTCCTCCAAAAACTAGGTGCGTCTTATTGGTCTGGTGCGTATTATAGAG